CATGGTCCCTTCCTGTTTTGTACTAGCTTTTGAATACACAGCAAATTAGAGAAAGGAACTCTAATGATATGCAAAGGTGAGTTTCAGGGGGAACATGCATTGTGAAAGCTTCCTTCCTTCCTTCCTTCCTTCCTTCCTTCCTTCCTTCCTTCCTTTCTTTCTTTCTTTCTTTCCTTCCCCATATCAAGGAAATACTACTTGTAGGAGTGCAGAAGCAACAGGTTATATTCAGGTGTCACTCATGTGAGCATTTATCAGGGCACTTCCTTCCTTCCTTCCTTCCTTCCTTCCTTCCTTCCTTCCTTCCTTCCTTCCTTCCTTTCTTTCTTTCTTTCTTTCCTTCCCCATATCAAGGAAATACTACTTGTAGGAGTGCAGAAGCAACAGGTTATATTCAGGTGTCATTCATGTGAGCATTTATCAGGGCATTTATCAGTTACCTCTAATTTGATGATTCACTCCTGCAAGTGGAATGAATGGCTATTGCTTACCTGTCATCCCAGGAAATGAGCATTGAGCCAGACTTCTACTGATACAATGCTTCAAGAAAGCCCTGTCAGAGAATTAAAAAGAAGTAGGAAAAAGTAGTACATCCTGCCATCAAGTGGTCAAGTGTTGCAGTGCAAACGCTGGTTAGCAGATATAGGACTTCCTTTCATGGTTTTGATTCAGAAATCTATCCCTATAGCAGCTGCCTTTCCCTCATAACACGGTCTGTTCATGTGAATGGTGGGGAAGGGCCCATAGCCCAGTGGAAGAACACGCATCCCAGTTTCACCCTCTGCCATCTCCAGTTGAGAGCTATGGGGTAGCGGGTGCTGGGGAAGGCCTTTATCACTTGAAACTCCAGAGAACCATAGTGAACTAGAAGGACCAATGACTTTAAGATGTGTTAGTATTTAGCACAGGAAGAGTGGACTCACTGAAAGCTTTCTGTGATCAAAAAGCAACGGGTTCCCCGTAATCTCACAAAACAGTACTTGGTGACCAAAGAGTTTTCCTTTGCTTTGCACAAAGAGTCAGGGTCTATTCTTACATTACAGAAGAGGCATGAACTCTGCTGGGGCTGTCCCACTTTTGCTTCCCATGCCCCTTTCACTAACAATTGAGCCTTGGGGATAGGGTTGCCATTTCCCCGATGGGGGTGGGGGTTTCCCCGCTTTTGGGGGCCCCAATCTGCTGCCACCCAGCTGGCTAGCGGCTCCCGTCTGCGCCTGACATGATGATGTCACCTGGAGGTAACATCACCATGCAGGGCATGTCGCACAGGGGATGCTCTAGAAATTTTTTTGGGGGAAACTATGGTAACAATAGTGTTTTCTCCTAAAAGCTAGAGTGTCCCCCACACAACATGCTGTTTTATATTTTATATTAAAGGACATGTACATGCATATTGAAGGACATGTACATGCATGGCAAGATATCATTACAGTCAGTATTTTCTTCCCACTACTTTATTCCATTGTCTGCTACTTACAGAGCAGCAGGGAAATACTGGACATAAAGGGGTGGATCCCACCACTTCACTGGGCAAAGTTTATTCGTTCATATATTAGAATATTTGTATCCAACTTTTCTTTTTGGCTGAAGTTTGACATCTTCCTCCAATTTGGCAGAAGAGCTGCTGCAGTTGGAAGAAGGCTACTTAGAGGATGATTGTATCCACCCCGATGATTTTAACTGAATATGAACACACATGAGTACATGAAGCTGCTTCATACTGAATCAGACCACTGGTCCATCAAAGTCAGTATTGCCTGCTCAGACTGGCAGCAGCTTTCCAGGGTCACAGGCAGAGGTCTTTCACATCACCTGCTGTCTGATCCTTCTAACTGGAGATGCCAGGGATTGAACCTGGGACTTTTTACAGATGTTCTACCACTGAGCCACAGCCCCTCACCATTTCTGGGTAATATAGGGAGGAGACACGGATCAGTAGTACCCATGCATTTAAGGTAACGTAGCTTGGTCAATAGGCAGCTGACTTCCACAGTGGAAGCCATTTGTCTGAAATGACAACTTTCATTATAATATATGCCATCACCTCCCAAAAGTGCCCTTCTGCTGTTCATGTAAGATGAACAAAGTTCAAAGTTTATTTATTTAATAGCTTTCACCAGCTTATAATACAAAGAATAAAACTGAATATGCAGAATAAAATATGAGTTAAACTGGTATAATATATAATAAAATCATCCAACATTGGAATGTAGTGTACCTGGTATGAGGAGTAAGATGAACAGGCCAGTCTCTATTAGGCCCATAGCTACAGTGGGGCATCTCGGGGCTAGGCCCCCTGACTTACTGGCACAGCCCCATGACTTCCCATCCAGCCCAGGGCCTCCGAGCGGCAGCAGGTGTGGGGAAGGAGCCGGGTATTCCTTTAATTCGATTAGCCAGCACCCCCTAAGAAATTTAAATGCCCCCTGTCTTTAAAAAATCCTGGCTACAGGCCTGGTCTCTACACAAGAGAATAAATGTACTCAAATAGCAACTTTCAGAAACAGAGAGTATGGGAAGCGTTGACAGCTCTCTGACCTGAAAGCCACCCTTCTTCACCCCCTTCCCCCAAAAAGATTTATTGTGAAATTTCTGAAACCAGAACGTATCAGGACATCTGATTATATTTAAGAAGAAGAAGAGGAGGAGATTGGATTTATACCCCGCCCTTCACTACCCAAAGGTGTCTCAGAGCGGCTTACAAACTCCTTTCCCTTCCCCTCCCCACAACAGACACCCTGTGATGTGGGTGGGGCTGAGAGAGCTCTGACACAAACTGCTCTTTTTCAAGGACAGCTGTGCCAGAGCTTGCAACTGACCCAAGGTCACATCGGCAGGTGCAAGTGGAGGAGTGGGGAATCAAACCCGGTTCTCCCAGATTACTTAACCACTACACCAAACTGGTTAAATTGGACAGACTGGAGCTAAGCTTCTTCCCCTGTGTCTCATATGCAGAGAGATGTGGGAATGGCTGTCTGTGAGATACTCGCTATATTTATTCAGGGTTTTGTGTAAGAAATGCCACAATCAGATCTGCTATGCTTTTCTAAGCTGACTCAATGGCACCACTGTTTTACATTTTTATCTGTACCCATTTATGTCTTTCTGTGCATGTTATACACACATATATACCAACAGAGGATTGCCACTTCTGTTGAAATGAACTCTAGTCCACACAGAACCTTTTGCCATAATACTTACAAGTAACGTTTCCAACTGCCTGTTCCTTTAATAGAGGCTTAATGGAAGGGGTCCCCAACATGACCCCATGGCACCCGCTGACACCCTTCCTGGTACCCACCAAGTATTTTTTAAAAGTTGGTGGGGGCAGGTGGGGCTTTTGCCCAGCAAGACTTCTGATTGGCTGTTGGAGATTTGATTGGCTGTTCAGGTTTTTAAAAACTTTGCTTTGGCTGCAGATGCCACCACAGCGGAAGGGTCTTCATTGTGTGACTGAAGGTGAGCTGTGGCAGCCATTTTGTGGCTGGCTCTACCTCCTGCTGGAGCCATTTTGCGGCAGCCATTTTATAGCTGTGCCCACCAAGCTCTGACAGAATTGAAAGGTGCCCATAGGCCCAAAAATATTGGGAGATTTGCTTAATGGGATCTTATTTATCAGGTGATATCAGTTCCTTCCATGCCCTGAAAAGCTTCCGCCACCCATTTCCCACACATTAAGCTTCTATTAAAGAGGTTAAGATGCTGAACTGCAGACTAGAAGGTCCGTAGTTCAGCAGTTTGAGACCCTGGTGCCACGTGACGGAGTGAGCTCCTGTCTCTGGCCCCAGCTCCTGCCAACCTAGCAGTTCGAAAGCAAGAAATTGCAAGTAGATAAATAGGTACCGCTTCGGTGGATAGGTAACAGTGTTCCGTGTGCCACAGCGTTTAGTCATGCCAGCCACATGATCACGGAAACGTCTTCGGACAGCGCTGGCTCTTCAGCTTGGAAATGGAGATGAGCACCGCCCCCTAGAGTCAGATTCGACTAACTTTCGACCAAGGGAAACCTTTACCTAAAGAGACAGGATATTTTTCCTCCAGCTCTTTTGTCAACCCTACTGTGATGTGCATTCCAGACGAAAGTCTTTTGATGAAAAGAGATGCAAGTGGGAGGCGGGAAGAAAAGGAACGGAAGTGACAAATCTTCATTGCTTTGTAGTCTCAGTAAAGACTTTCCATTCCCCCCCCCTTCTGTTTTCCAGCTAGGCCAAAGAAAGCATTCAAGTATAAAAAGCACAGATGACCTCAATTTAAACAGCTTAAGTAATCCTCAAAGGAAGTATCAGGTAGGATCTAGATCCTAACAGAGACTAACAGTAATAAAACTAACCATGAAATGCAAACAACAGATTGTCTGTGATCCAGGAAATTTAGCAGACAATAAATTGCATGCGGCCAGAGACTTCTGTAACAGATACGGCATGATTCAAGCAGCATACAGTGTACCAAGGGTGCATTAGTTGTGAATCCTTATTAGAGCAAAAGTCCCATTGCATTTTATTGTACCCCATGCTTATGACTTCACATTTTAAGCTGTGATCCTGTGATTGCTTACTTGAGAGTTAAGACCTATTGAACGGCTGAGTTAAGTCTGCATGACCCAGTACCAGAAATACTTTTTTCTGCTTCTCTTTCCTAGAAAATTATGAAACGTCTTATTAAAAGATACGTACTGAAAGCTCAAGTGGACAAGGAGAGTGACGAAGTCAATGAAGGTGGGTTTCTGCTGAAGCAAACTGGGGCAAGACAATGGCTAACCAAAGATTTATATTTTTACAAAGACTTTGTTGTGATAGATTTACTTAAATTTCAAGTCTGTCGTCCTACCCAAACAGCTTGTGGCTGGTAGGTTACAACAGTTTTAAGAACAATAAAGTGATGTACGGTGCGACAAAATTGCTCAGCTTCCTATCGATGGGCCAGGACTGATTATCCGACTTTACATACAAAAGTGCCATCACATCACAACTGGCTTATGGTGGCCCCTACAAGGGACTTTCAAGGCAAGTAAGAAGCTGAGGTGGTTTGCCACTGCCTTCCTCTGCATTAGGGTTGCCAGGTCTGTTGGAAACGCTGAAGGGGGAATGTTCTGGGAGCCAGAAGTGAATGTTGTGCAACATATCTACGTTACCCAGAAGTGACATAGGCACACCAGTGACATTGGGGGCAACGCTCTGGTTTTTGGGCAAAACTCTATGGTAAAATCAGCCTCAAACCATAGAGTTTTCCCCAAAAACCAGAGTGTCATCACCAATGGGCCTGTGTCACTTCCAGGTGATGTAGGCATGTCGTGTTTATTTCTGTTAACGTCGCTGATGGGGGAGGGATTTCCTCCTGCTGGCCAGCTGGCCAGTGGGGTACAGAAGCCCACAGAATCCCCTTGTAAGCCGGGGAGGGCAGGGTATAAATATAAAATAAATAAATATAAAATTTACAAAAAATCAGGGGGAATCTCTCACCCCCAACTGGGGAATGACAACCCTACTCTGCAGAGTCTTCCTTGGTGGTCTCCTATCCAAGTACTGACCCTGCTTAGCTTCCAAGATTGGGCAGGATTAGTCTATGCCATGCTGGCTTCCCTCTCTGTTCCACCTTGCACTCATGTAACTATACATTCCAAACAAGTGTGAACTAAAATCACAAACCTAACAACAGTGTACGGCCCTATTGTTAGACCATGCATACACACAAGCAGGGCTATTTTTGGGCAGGAACGCACAGGAACGGAGTTCCAGCTGGCTCCTGAGTTGGCCACGCCCAGCAGGAACTCATTAGCATAATAGGCCACACCCAACAGCAGAAACTCATTCGGATTGGCTACAATTAGGGGTGTGTGGCCTAACATGCAAATAAGTTCCTGCTACAAAAAAAGCCCAGGGTTTTGACAACAAAGTAAACAGAATAAGAAGCAAAAGGTGGGTGTGACTGGAGAACCACACTTCTAGTAACATGGGTGTGTGTGGCCTAATATGCCAATGAGCTGTGCTATCAGGGGTGTGGCCTAATATGCTAATGATTTTCTGCTGTTGGGTGTGGCCTATTATGCTAATGAGTTCCTGCTGGGCTTTTTCTACAAAAAAAGCCCCTGCACACAAGTAAGAGGAATCTCAAGCATCGTACGTGCAACACATATGCACACACAAAGGCACACAGAATACTTCCTGGCACACCTTAGTGACCATTCCCCCAGCACTCAATTTGTCCCCACTCCCATCCAGCACCTTGTGAGCTCTCCCCATGTCAAGACATATTACAGACGACAGATATTTTTTTACCGAGGGGTGTTATAAAGATAGCACATGATATATCTGGTGTTTGAGGATGGATTTTCCATGTCTTTAAGCCTGTCGGTCAGTGTATCTTTATGTTTCCTAATCTGTGTTTTCTTGAGCTGGCAATAATTCCACATGCTGTGAATTAAAAACAAACACACACGTACACACTTTAAAAAAAATCACCTTTAGCACTGAAGGTTATGGCCTGATTCCTCCTTTTCATAAGTCTGTCTTCTCCCTTACAGGTGAGCTGAAAGAAATTAAACAGGACATCTCAAGCCTGCGTTATGAACTCCTTGAAGAAAAATCACAGAACACAGAAGACCTGGCAGAACTCATCAGAAAACTTGGGGAGAAACTGTGCATTGAGCCAAAGCAGGAACAAATTAACAGATAACAGAAACTTCTTTCTGACATGAAACTCCAAGTTGGCAGTCCACTGAAAGCCATATCAATTGTATCTTATTTTTCCCCAAATGTAGTTGATATTTTTACAGCGGGTTACAAAAGCAGATACATCCTGGAGGGACCCCTCTTTATGTGTAACTGAGGGAAACCAGTGTTTGAGCAGAGATGCCATTCACAGAGGGAAACATCAGCATTTTTTTGTGTTGATAATAGTTTTGACAAAATATGGCTCGAGAAGCGTCACAGATAAAGATGAGGCTGGTTGTTTTGAAACCAAGATGCTCCCTCACCCCAAACAGATACACAGCAATCAAATCCAGATTTACTTGGGAGTAACTTCTGTTGAAATCAGTTGAGATTTCCAAATAACATCACTGAAGAGTGGAGTTCTGATCACTTAAACAAACAAACAGAAATAAAATTGAGAAAAGTTTTAAGGATATAAGAAGAGCCCAGCTGGATCAGACCAGTGGTTCATCTAGTCCACATAGGGGCAAACCAGTTTCTGTGGAGGCTTACCTGTATGCTGCCAAATAAATTCTTGGGATGGGTGAAAGAGAAGGCTCATCAGCAGAATGACCGTGACGTTACTATAGCTTTACAAGACTTTTGTGCCACAGCATCGTAAGCACACAACCAGGTTCACATCTCTAGGGGTGTATCTGTGTTACAAACCCATACCAGTTTAACGGTTGTGGTTTTTCCTGAGAAGAAATGGAGGTCCTTTGTTCTCTTCACAGAACTACAGAGGAATCATGGCTAAGCCAGTATTATGGATGCACTGTGGGGTTGAGATTCCAGAGGCCATCTGATAGACCTTAAGGCATTCCACTCCTCAAGCAGAACAGCTGGACGTTCTCCACCTATAGCAATTTTTAAAATGTTAAGTTTTTGAGTTATCTTTCTATATTTGATTCCCCCCCCCCAGGTAAAAAGTCCCATGTGTCTGGAGCCTTGCTGCTTTAGAGAGATAACCCTGTATATCATGCCCCTGTCAACTCCACCCTGCCAATACTGGCTTCCATCAGTTGTGTGGTGGAAAGGGTCATCAAATCACAACTGACTTATGGCCACGCCTTAGGGCTTTCAAGGGGAAAGATGAACAGAGGTGCTTTGACATTGCCTGCCTCTGTGTAGCAACCCTGGGTGTGTTCGCTCATCCAAGTACTAATCAGGCCAGACCTTGCTTAGCATCCGAGATCTAATGAGATTGGGCTACAAAGGCAGCTCTGATTAGCCCTACCACACTTGTAAATCTGCACATCATTTGCAAGCAGCTTTTCTCCCGCAGTGTGATCTCACTACAGTCGTAGCCCCCAGACTCCACGGACCACTGATAGGGAATTGATAGTTGCTAAGTGTGGCATCTTCCAGGCCCCTAGCTGCCGCCTATCTTGAGCTTACAACGGTTGGATGTGGATGACCATTTTTAGATACGCTCCTGTCCTGATAAGTGCTTAAATTCTCCTTGTCCCTTGACAAGATGATGCAGAGCACTAAGATAGCCTGGGGTGAGGGACTCACCGTGCAGCGGTTTGGTCATCTGCACAGGCTCAGAGGCAACAGGCAATCAAGCCTAATAGCACAGACGGGACCTTTTAGGTGCACTCCTGTAGGAATTTGGTTGCCCTGGTCAAGCAAGAGTCCTTCCCTTTAATATCAAGTTCCATAAATCACAAGTCCCTGGTCAGCAACCAAACTGGTAGGTGACTAAACTGGGACTCGTGAGCATATTCTTTGGTGGTCCCCTTTTTCTCATGGCATCCAGTACCCCTTCCCACGAGCCCTGCGCTCTAATTCTTTCTACTGATCACCAGAAGCCCCCTCTTCTGTTCTTTAAGAACATCCAAGTTACTCACGGAGGCTGTAGCCACTATTGTGTTGCAGCCAGTTTCATGCTGGCATAAAGCTAGTAATGGCGGTGGACATTCGAGGAGCCGTATGAATTGCTCCACAGCAACATCGAAGCCTCCCTTGTTGGGGTGAGATAGAGAATGCTTCCCTGGTTGCTTAGCACATGAAGTCTCTCACGTGACTTGTACAGATTATCACACTCTTGTCTTGTAAACCAAATGCCACCAAGCCAGAATGAAACTAATAGAATTTCAGGAAGCTGGGAGGTGTCATGAGGGGTGGTTTTCTTAGGTTGGCTTCCCTTATCTCTTGCTGGGGACATTCTTTGAAAATTATTGCCCTTGTCTCTGATTTATACCCAGAGTTTAAACAACTGCGGTCCATGAAATGCAAACATTTTATATTCAGGTTCATGACCTAATACAATCTGGGGGGGGGGGGGTTTTAAAAAAAAGATTTTAATGGCAATAGCTGGCTCAGGCCAGTTGTAGTTCAGCTGGAAGACAATGTAGCTGGATCAAATTGCTTTTGATGGTTTCAGAAGAGACAATGGAATTACGTTGTTGGAGGGTTTGCCTTGTATAAACTGTTGTGGAACACACTCTAAAACCCTCTTCAGGTTTCAAATACCTTTCAGCTACAAGCCAAACAACCTGAAAGACACTTTCCTTGATGAAATATTGGTTCAGAAAGCAAAAGTTATTTGTGCTTTGTTTGAAAGTGTGGTAAGATACACTAATACATTTTGTTTTGTTAATTTTGCTTTTGCATGAAACCATCATGTCAAGAAGAAGATAACTCTATTGGTGATTTTCAGTCGAAAAGGGTTAGCCTTAACTAATTGGTCAAGTGCTAGAGCATATGGATAGATCCATATAGTATAATGTGAGCCATAGGCTCTGTGAACTCAGGGTGCAGAAGCTTTAAGGACCTCTCTCAGGGAGGGCAAAAAAAGAGAGATTTATTTGTGTGTTTTTTGGAAATGGAGCCTAGATCAGAGGTATTTTTTAAAAAAAATATAAGAAAGCACAAGAGTGGAGTTTGTAAAAACTATGAGATGTGGCCGTCCTTAACAAATTGCCTTAGACTACTGGTCACTGTATCTTCTCTACCACAAGGGGGGAAAACTGCCAGAGAGATATTTTAAGCAGACACCAGCAAGGAAAAGGGCTATGCAATCCCTTTCTTCCACGAGTTTCTCAATTGGAGCCTCCGAGACCGATTTTAATTTCAAAACAACCTCCCCGAAAAAGAACATGTTTGTTGATGAACGTGAATCTGAGCATTTTGTATTGTTTGGCCTTCACTTTGTGTGTGGGGAGTGGTGGTGGAATGGGACAGAGAGGCCCGAGAGGCCTAGCAAGTAATAAGTGTGAACTAACTGTTAGGTCCTACCCACAGTTCAATTAAACTTGAACGGATTTCGTGGCAGATATTCAGCAGTTTGGAAAGTGTCTCTAAAGGTAGAAAGCCACTAGGACAAGCAGATCATTACTGGCTTGCCCTCTGTTTTAAAATTGGATTCTTAATTGTTTATGGTTTTATGATGTGGTTTTATTGTCTATATTTCCGTTGTGACCCACCCTGAGCCCGCTTGCAGGGGAGGGCGGGATAGAAATCAAATCAATCAATAAATGGGATGTTAGGAGATCTGTGATCAGATTTCCTGAGCATTTTTCCAGATTGGAGCCTTGTTGTACTGGAAGAAGAAGAATCTCTTTTTCCCTAATCCAGTTGTTACCTCAAAGACTCACTCCAAGAGCTGTTACTTGCTCAACTGAGGGAGGGGACAAACACACACACACACTGCCACAGAGCACTTAGTAACTTTGGGTGGGGCTTTTGAGGCTGAGAAAATAGGGTGGAGAGTATTAACTCACCATTGCTGTAGCCTTGATTTTAATTTGGGCCTCTAACAGCTTCCACTTTTTAATAAAATGCTGATTAAAACCATTCACAGATCTTCCAGCATCTGGTTTACCTTGTCCCTTAGATCCTTTTGGCTTGCCAAATCCTAGAATTGGAGAAGAAGAAGAAACTGTTTCAATCTTGATCCAAGAAATACTTCCACAAAACGTACTAGTTCCGCCACCGAACTTGTGTGGATTTTATTATCACCCATGCAATTCCAGCAGTGGTTTTGTAATAACAGAGGTTAGATCATGATTGTGGACAGCAATATAAGAACTTTTGCAAGCCTTTGTTTCTGTACCACCCACCTTTCATATTCTTCTGCAAACCTGTGTTTTCCTCAGGCCTGTAGAAAAATACCCCCTCTCTGTCCCTGGCACCGTTGTGGAAATTTTATGATCCACACTCTATGGCCTGGTTCAGAATTCGGTAAAACAAGAAGGGGGGACCTGCGATACTCATGGGGGGTGGGTGGAAGGAGCTCCACGTGGAGGAGGAGGAAGCAGCCACAGGTGAGCCTTCTCCCCCGCTCTCCCCCCCTGCACCAACGGCGAGGCCCACATGGCTCCCAACTGCCAGGCCCGCCAATTCTTCTCCTACACCTTCCACGCCCCGGTGGAGAGCTGCGCGGGCACTAATCAAGTGCAAGATGTTTTTTTCCAGGTTTACCAATAAATCTTTAATGGTAGGATCCACAGATATGTGTATTTTTGTTGGGGGGAGGTGGCTACCAATTTTCCCTTGGGACTCCAGCTCCTCAGACTGCACTGAACACTATTCCATAGCATCAGAGCTAAACAAAATTTATTTATTTGGTTAATTTATACCCACCTTTCTCCGCAAAAATGATTTTGATCTTTCTTGAGTGTTGATAGATAAGATAGCTATCTCCTTCCTGCAAGTACAAGGAGTTGTTTTTTTGTCCATGTGTGATGTCTGATTTTTCTCCCCTCTCTTTTTTCTAATTAATCTTGGGCAAATCCTACACACTCCTCAATCCACATGGGAAATAATATGGAGAACTGAGTTTTATGGCCCAACATTTGCCGGACATCAGATAACATAATCTGGGCCTTCAATTTTGGATCAGATCCTCCCTGAACTTTCATTTTCCTGTTTACTGGAATGCACAAGCCGCAGGACGTTTTTGCCATGTTCATGGGTGGCAACTTCTAGGAGTTAATACAGGCTGCACTTCAGGGGTGCCAGGCAAAGACTTTCCCC